TCTGTGGCAGATTGAAGAAAGGTGATCTGTTCACCAGCTCCGTGCAGGACATAAAGATGAGTCCTCTGGCTGCCTGCTAGGAGCCTTTCCCTTGTGGCCTCTCCCAGGCTCTGCACTGGAGCAGCCAGAGCTGCACTGCTTTCTTTTCACCTATGCCTCTGTGCCTGGGACACAGAGAGAGCCACTTCCCCTGACCAGCACAGACCAGAGTCTGAGACCATTCTGGCATGGGTTTCCAGGAGGGCTTCAGAACCTCCCAGTTCCAAATTTCAGATTTCATCCTAAGTTTCCCCATAACCTGAACTGGCTAAGCAGTTGGCCCTCTGTGTCCATGGGTTCTGAATTCACAGGTCGTGAACCCTAAGGCCCTAAGATTCAACAACATGGATTGAAGGTATTTGGCAAACCTGGCATCCCGTGGAACTCTGCATACTATTTTTCCCCCTTACCCTGGTTCCCTAAGTGACAGTGCACCAGCCACTTGCACTGTGTGCACTCCTGAGCTAGAGATGGCATAAAGTCTGGGGCAGGGCTGGGGGTTCTTTGTGGACACTGCTCCATGCTATACGTGGGAAGTGAGCACCGCCAGCACCCCAGAGATATGCGGGAGTGCACAACTGAGCTACTTGCAGACAGCAGTCACTTGCGGTGCAGACTGAAGGAGGGTACGCGAGGCATGTGCCACTGAAGTCCTCTGTTTCTTACTAAGGACTCACACAGTGTGGTTTGAGGCTCAGCCCTCGCTTTTACATAGCCTGCCAGCGCTGTGGCTCCTCTGAGCCTCCCCTTGGGTGACACCATGAGCTGTCACCTCTTTTCCTCCTCTCTCACCCCCAACTCCTCTTGTATCCAAGACTTCTCCCTTCATTTCATAGGCCCCTTCCCATGAAAACACAGGTAGGTGGACAGTCCTCGTGCCCGTGGTCCGCTTAGCTGCCCCACTTCTCACTCATTAGAACTGAATGTCCTATGGCAGCCACTTCCCTTAGGGTCCCCCAACCCTGCTGTGTGCCCAGGATGCCCACCCACTGAGCATCTCTCCCTGACCTTGCCGTGCCCCTCTCACCAGCCCAGACTCCCTCTCTCTTTGCCTTTGGAGTACCTTGCCCAGTCTTCCCTGGCTCTCTGTCCCCTCCTTCTCTCCCCTCCCTTCTCTCTGCCACTGAGATGCTGGGGTCCTGAGGTCTAGTACAGGTGCTGTTTCTTCCCCTTATCTTACACTCCCAGAACAGCCTGAAGGAGCCCAGTAGGAAGCTCTTATTCACCTCTCTTCCAAGATTACAGGTACCTGGCCATACCACCCCTGTCCTAAAGAACAAATAAGTGGCCATTTGTTGCTTTCTCCTCTACTCCACTTGCCACTTCATTCTGCTCAGCTAAAGACTTGCTGTCCTCAGCTGTCCAGGCATCCATGGTATGAAGCTAGGTGTCTGCCCAGCCCTCTTCTTCCCTGCCACCCAGGGCCCTGGGCAGGCACCTCCTCCTCTGCTGCCTGCACACCCATCCTCCCCTCTCTATCACATTGCCCTACCTGGGTCCTCTCCAGCAGAACCCTGTGTTCCCACCTGTCACCCTTTCCCCTCTCACTTTTACTATTCATTCTTCCTGCTCCAGCCAAATAGTTTCCTGACACAGATCTGATGGGTCTCATCACCCTCAGGGTGCAGCCCCAAGGCCTCAGCCCTATATCTACCCCCTCACCCCAGCTGTGCTGCACTGATGGATTATGTGTGGTTTACCCTTCTCTACCACACTGTGATCTCTCTCTAGCCCCCCCAGCTTAAGCCTCTGGAGGAATTTATGCCCAGATGTGCTCCATTTTCTTTGCTTACTTGCCTGCTGTCTTGAGGACCCCCTACCTCCCACATTCTGATCTGGCCCTGGCCCCCAGGAGGGCCCCCTGCTATGCCTTGGGCTTCCCTACCTCTCCTCTCCACACTCTGCTCTGTCTGCCTTTCCCAGGGACCACCAGTTCTTTATGCACCCCCATGGTTTGCTGAGTGCTCTGCCTATAGTTGGCACTTCAATAAGTCTCATGAATAAATCAGTACACACACAGTGATGGGTGCTATACCCTCCTTTTACCTACAATGCAAAGAGATGCAGGAGGGCATTTATCATGGCCTTAGCCTGTAAAGAAGAAGAGAGCAGTGGGAAGTTCAGGGTCGTGGAGGAAGTTGGGAGCTGGTGATGGCTCAGGCTGAAAGTGTGGGCCCTGCAGTCAAGACCCCAGGCTCTGATCCAGGATCTGGAGATTGCTATGACTTTGGGGAAGATTCTAAACCTGTCTACACCTCACTTTCTACGTTCTTGACATGGTGATAAGGTTTATGGATTAGTTGAATTCTTATTTAGAAAGCCACTGAAAGGAGGCATCATATGCCCATGTAGAGAGAGGAAGCTGAGACCTGGCTGGGTGACGGCTGCCCAAGGTGAAGTCAGTGACAAGGAGACTGGGATTTGAGCCAAGGCCATCTCATCTGTGCCAAGGACTGAGAACTATTCCTCTGAGCTCTGGGTGCAATGTGCAGGAATGTGTTACTATGGCCTGGAAAGGGTGCATGGTGAAAGGTGCATATAGCAGGTACATTAACACATAGTGGGACTTGCAGACATGGATCCCCCTGAAGAGCCTCAGCTAGTGTTCAGCTTTTCCCACTCCCTAGATGATGTTAGGATGTCTCTTAGTGGGCTCTTGCCAGCCAGCATCTAGGCAGCAGACATTCTTATTCAGACATCTGTCCTGGCACTTTGTGGGTAAGGATCATTCAGGAGGCTTTTCCCAGGAAGAGCTGTGCCTTCCTGAGTTTCTGGAGTGGAAAGCCTCAGCACCCATGCTCTCAAAGGCCACCCACAGAGGCGATGCACACCCTGATCTGCTCCGTAGAACTTTGAGAAAGACTGTTTACAGGGACAGAGTCCATCCATACAGTGACTTCTCAGAGGATCCCTGTATTGTGACCAAAAGTGTTGCTCTCTACCACTGAGATCTTTGGAGATATGCATTTCTGTGTCATTACCCGGCCTGTCCTGACTGCTCTAAGGCTGGCAGAGTGACACCACAGGCTTCCTCTGGCCCCAAACCCCACTGGAGAAATCAGGCAAGCCCCCAAATGAGTGCTATGAGTGCCAACCCCTGGAGGATGAGTGGCACTGAGCCAGAAGAAAGAGGAAGTAGAGACCTCCTTCTGATGCTCCCTCCAAAAAGAAAACTACAGCTTAAAAACAACTGATGTGCCATTTGTACTCATTCCTTGGTGGCCAGGAAATGTGCCTCTGTGGTCCTCAGATTTTTCTGTGCATGAGAAATTCTCAGAGGGATGTGGCAGAGCACAGCTAACTGGAATGTTTCTGCACAAATTGGGGTTCGGGCTCAGGAATGTTTGTGTTTCTGGCAAGCACCCCCAGGATCTTTCTCTGGTTCATACTACTCTGTTATAATAATAGCTATAATAGATTCTCCTAAAGATGTCCCTTAGTAAGCCCTGAGATTTTAAAACAAATTAAAGCCAAGACTAAGACCTGAGTCATTCAGTTCTGACTGAGTGGCTGCCCTCTTTCCTCTCAAATTGCTGGGGCTTCTTTTCTGTCCTCCTTACCCTAGGAGAGAGCAGGAGCCATGTCAGGCTTCACCTTCTATCCTCGCCTGGCTGGTAGTGGGCCTTGCTCTCTCTTCTGGCTCTGAGCCTGGGCTGGTTGCCTTTTGAACAACTCCATCGCCGAACATGGTCTGATTTTCTTTGGGGGCCTGCCTGATTTCTCCAGTGGGGTTTGGGGCCAGAGGGAGCCTGCAGACCAGTGCTAATTGGTGTCATTGAGTAATTAATGCAAAGTCAGGCCCAAGTGGATTCCCAGGGAGACAGACACTGAGGGTGGCTTTCATGCTTGGTGGAGTAGGAGCTCCTTTCCCAGAGAAGGCTCTTGCAGTGCTGGGGCAACTGGCACCAGCCAGAGTGGGGGTGCTTTGGCAGTCCAGAGGGGCTCACTAGTTTGGAGGGGTTTGTATTGATGCACAGATCTGCACAGTACGGAGCAAGGAAAGTTTGACTTTAAAAAACAGAAACCCTAGCATGGGCTCTGGAAGCCAGCCTGACATTGCCCATACAGAACTGTTAGGCCTTCAGGAAGGATGTACCAACCTGCGTTTGCTCCAGGGACCTCTGCCCCTTGGTGTGACAGCCAAGCCTCCCTGTGTGCTACCACCAATTACCCTTCTTGCTGTTCCTTCTGGGCCCTGGGTCCCAGCTGCTGTGGCCCAAGTACACCGTGCCCCATCTCTCTCAATCTGGAACAATCTCTGTCCCTCTTCCTGACTCATTCTGCTCATCCTTCAAAATGTGGCTCACGTGTTTCTACTTCTAGGAAGATCTCCTGGATGCCCTGTCACCATCAGGATGGGCTAGGTTATGCTGAAGTAACAAATACCCCAGAGATCTTGCTGGTTCACAACAGCAGAGCTTGTTTCTTGCTTTCCCTCCATCCCTGACTCAGGCAGAAGAGGCTCATGTTGACAGCAGCCTCCAGAGACAACAGAGGTGGGGAAACGGCAGTAGGGAACCAGGCCACTCTGCTCTGAAAGCTTCCATCTGAAGTGGCACATGTTTCATTGCTGGCCAAACAGTGGCCACAGTGAGTCCTGTGTCCACTGTGAATTCAGTAAGGCTAGGGTATCAAGCACCACTGTGGAGACATGGGGTGTTTAGAGATGTCACTGCAGCCTGGCAGGTACCATGGGTGGGATGTTTCTGGCCTTCCCTGTGCCCTGTGTATTATACTTGCACCTTATCTCACTCCCCACGAAGAGTGGCTTCCTAGGGGCAGGGTGGTGCTTTTCCCCTCAGAGGCCCGTACCCACCCCAGGGTTTGGCACAGAAGGTGACCTGGTGAGTGGGGCGGGGGCAAGTGGCAGGTGGCCCGTCTCTCCTCTGCAGTGCTGGTCTTGCTGCAGGTGGCCGAAGTGGGCCATCACCAGCCCCATGACTCTTGACACTCTTCTGCAGGCGGCGAGTCCTGGCCATCTCCGATGGGATTGAGCACATCGGGAACCTGCGCTGGGAGCTGGCCTTGTGTCTCCTGGCAGCCTGGACCATCTGCTACTTCTGCATCTGGAAGGGCACCAAGTCCACAGGAAAGGTGAGAGGTTGATCTTGGAGTGACTACTCAGGGGCAAGAGAAGAATGATTTTCCCAGTGGCAGCTCAGGGGACTGGAGGGTGCCTGGAAGCTATGTTGTGAAATCTGGCTCAGATGTTTTCAGATAGGATGAGCACTAGATAGGGAATCCACTCAGGAGCCCAGAGTTAAGTCCAGTGTATATTCGTCACATACCTTAGGCTATTTTGCTTTACCTGCTGGGCCTCAGGTTGCTCACCTGTGAAATGACCTTACCTAGCCTGTGACACAGAGTCAGTCCAGAGTCACACAGGATGTTGAAGTGCAGTGAACCGAGCAGTGCTGAAGCTCTGCAGTGACCCTCAGGTCAGTGAGCTGTGTGCTAGCTGGGGAACACGGGCTGTCTCCCCTGGCAGGCCCCACATCTCACAACACCCTTGTTCCTCTCTCAAAGTCTGTGGAGGGGAGAGTAACTGTCTCTGTCTCACAGCCTCACTGTGTCACCTGCCCCCATGGGACTCCACAGTCGCCACCTGATTGGCAGAGACATAGGAGAAGGCAGCCAGCCCCTGACTCTCCTCCACTCACAGGTTTTGGGCCAGAACCTGAGACAGAGCCCCAGGGCAGCTGGGAAGCATGGGAAAACATGAGGACTTTGGTAGTGAGTGCGTCATATACTGTGAGGATCGATAGTTAGAAATGTGAAGCTCATGGCCAAGTCCAGCTTGCTTATGAGTTTTACTTTAAAAGGATGAGGGGAGTTAGTTGCTAACATGTAGAAATCAGGATATCTCACATAGAAAGTAGGAATCTGATCCTGACATCCCTTGGCAAATGAGACTGGGCTGCACCAGACCTGCAAACCCACAGGGCTGCAAGTGGCTGAGCTGAACAATAGCCACCTCCTCCAAGGGTGTTCTGGTTGGCCACAGACCCCACCGCTCCTTGTCACCCCATCCTGTGGCTGAGTGTCGACGCTATGAGTTTCCTCTTTTTGACCAATTAGTTTTTCCTTATGGAAGAGGGGAAAATGACCCCTTCTTCCTTCTGGTTGTGACGGGAAGTTGCTTATAAGCACTGTTCTAAATTCTTGGCCAGGGCAGGCAGTACAGAGAAAGCTCTGGAAGCAGAAAGTGGTGGGTGGGATGCATGGTGGAGGTGGCTAACCTGCAGCAGGAAGGGCAGGAGAGCCCAGCAGAGGTAGCACAAAGTGCCACACTGCATGATGCAGTAGAACTAAAGGTGTACCATAAAACAGCCGTGAAGGTGCCAGGGCCCGACAAAGCAGAAACCCAATACTCGTGTCCCTTCAGTCATGAGGACTATCCTAATCTTTGCTTCCTCTTGTTAGTATCATAAAGACAATTGGATTTTTCTCTTCTCTAAAGTGTAAAGTTGCTGCATTAATCATAATCCAGACTCCAGTTGTATCCATGGGGCTTCCCTCCCATCTGTCCCACCTCTTCTTGCTAAAAAATGGGTAAGAACTGGGGTCTGAGATCAGGATTCCAAGCCCTAGTCTGCCTAGTCTGCCTAGGCTGCAACACTGGCACATCAGTGAATTGCCCTCTGTGAAGCAAAGTGGCGAGCGTGCTGTCTTGCCGTGCAAGGTTTGTGTTCAGGGTTCAGCAGAGTATGTAATATGTGACAAGTACCAAGAATACCGCAAGTTTGAAAACCTCTTGTTACAAAGATAAGGTGAATTTACTCAGAAAGTAGTTTGTGGTCAGCAAGCAGGGGTGAACATTTATCCATGGCCTGTTGCTCCCTGGACGTGGCGCTGGGGCTTTTCATCAGCTCTAGTGACTGCCGTGCTTTCTGGGTGGGAAACCAGAAACTAAGGGGTGGCCTGGCCATGGTTACACAACAACTCTGTACCTTACCGTCACCCAAGTGCTCCCCACTGCCTCTCTCATCTCTGGATCGATGAACAGAACGCGTGTCAAGTGCAACATCCATGCACACAGCTGCTATGGCCTCCCTTCCAGTGGAGGTGGGAAGATCAATCAGTAGCAGTGGCGGTGTAGGCCCCAGGTCTGTGGTGAGTAGTCACTGAGGGCTTCCTCTGGGCTTCAATTCCTCTTCTTCTCAGACCTTGGAGCCACCCTGTGAGACAGCAGCTGCCAATGTCCCACTCTAAGATGAGTAACTAAGGCTGGGGGAAGGGACTGCTCGAGGACCCTCTAGTAGGAAGTGGAAATGGGTGAAGTTCGAACAGCCAGAATATATTGCAGCCAGGGAGACTGGTGTGGGAAACCTGGCCTTTCATGGCGTGGTAGGGCTCGGTCTCCAGTGGGTGGATCCTGAGTGAGGCTGCCATGGTGAAGTCAGCCTTTACTGACATTCATGTCTCCACCAGGACAGCTGGTGTTACAAGAGAGATGGTATTGACTGTCCTCCTGAGGCCAGCTGAGCAGTCTGTATCCACACTAGGACCCACAGGAAGGTGCCTGCTCCTCCTCTGTTCCTTAATAAACACTGGTGTGGTGCACAAATTCAGGAGGTGAAGGGGACATAGCAGTGAAAACAGGTAACAGTTTGGTCCCACAGAACATGCAATCTGCAAGGTGGCGCATGGTCAGGTAGCAGTTAGGATTCAGAGCACCCATGCTGAGTCCTTCAATGTAACATTGCAGCAGGTGAGCAAATCAGATTCTTAAGAACCTGGGATTCTGAGGGCTGAGAATACCAGACTAACATTGGAGCCGGAAGTCATCTTGGCTTTTAAATTGAAAGCTGGTTTTATAAGTAAGGCAGTGAAAGCTCAGGAAGACAGCAAGGTTTGCCCAAGGCCATGAGGCCACCTGCATGCAGCAGCCCCAGTCTGGGCATGTCTGCCTGCCCTGAGGTCTTCAGCTGCTGCCCCTCCTGCAAGGATGAATGTGGCTCCGAGGCAGACACGCTGGTGTTCCTTCTGAGTGTGCTCCAGGGACTCACCATTTGTTTATTTCCCTGCCTGGCAAACATAGCTGCAGTTTGATTGTTACAGAATTTTTATCCCATCACTGGAGACTGTTGTAAATTCCAGAAATCCCCTATGGGCTGAAAGGAAAGAAAGGAAGAAAGCTTTCTCAATCATACATTAAGTCCCAAGGAAATGGGATGCTGATGTACGTTTCCTCGGAACACTTCCACAGCGGTGCGACTCGTCACCCTCTAAAAGGGACCGGGACACTCCTGGTAACTGGATCAAAATCAGGAAACCAAAATGTGGGGCTGTTTCTGCCATGTCACTATGCCCACCTCTTACCCACTGTCCATATCTGTGTTGCCAGTTGCTGCCACCGACTTCTCTTCCTGATCTCAAGGTCCTGAAAGCACAAAGTCAGTTTAGACAACTCCCTTTAGCATTCATCCAATTATTAGCCAAACCCAAACACACAAACAACCAAAGCATCCCATCTCTATTTCTGTTGCCCTCCCACCTGGACAATGACCATTTAGTAGCCCCCTGGCACCTTGGGTGAAAGTTACCATTACATTATCCCTCTTCTACAAACATATTGCTGCCATGCAGGTGATATACCTGAATTTTTTTGTGTTCTGAGAAATAATGATTCCTGGTTTTACCTCCCTGCCTCCCTACATGCCTGTATGTCAACGTGATGGTTTGGTCTCACTGTCCTGGCAGTTCGATGATTGTGTCCTGGTAGTTTGTTAAAGACTGAAAACACTTTTTATTACTACACATCCTCTGGAGGCTGTGCTAGGCCCCAATTTTGTCCAGGAATAGGGCAACAGTAGCTTCAGGCCCAAATCCAGCCTATTGCTTGTGTTTGTAATAAAGTTTGATTGAAAACCAGCCACTTCTACCTACCTCCTATCATCGTCAGCTGTGTCTATGCTGCTGCAGTCTCAGAGCTGAGTAACTGGATTGTGTGACCCACAAAGCATGGCACACAGGTGAGGAGCCCTAATCCCAAAACCTAGGATTTGAAACCCTTCAGATGCTGAGATGATGCTACAAGTGGACATGATCATTTCCTAAAGCTTTGTTTCATGTACAGAATGACCTTACAAGATCTTCTTAGGCTGAGGATAGAAGCTGTTTTTGAAACAAATGATTTTTGCATCTGGACTGGAGTCCCAGCCCTATGATATCTCCATATGTATATGCAAATATTCCAAAATCCAAAAGAACTCTGAAGTCTGAAATGTTGCTGGTCCAAGTCTTTTAGGTAAGATATAAGGGCCGAGCCTGTATTCCTGACCTGGCCCTTTCCAGAAGTCTGGGGACCCACAGGATGGTCAAATCTATTAAACTGATTTATGTAACCAGTTCCTATTTAATGACTGTGAAAATTACTGTCCCTCCAGATTCCTGAGCATTTCCAACCAAGTGACAGGGATGGTTCAGGGTGTAGAGTTTAAGGTCCCTTCAAGTCTCCTCAGGTTTTCAGCCCCAAATGTGATTTTCATTTGCTAGGGATACTGCCCATGACCTCACGCAGCCTTTCCCAAGTTGGTGTTGATTGTATACTCACTATGCACCACACACTTGTCTGGGGCCCTTTGCAGTGATGAGGGAACCAGACCATGTGGCTTATGGTCCTGGGAGGGTGTGAATAATTGTGGGTTTGTTGTTGCTGCTGTTTGTGGTGCTGGGGATTGAGCCCAGGGCCTTGTGTGTGTAAGGCAAAAACTAATCCCCAGCCCTGGAAGGTACAGAGAATAAACCAGATGCAGAAGTGCCGGGAAGAATATGGGGGCTGTGAGAGAGAAGGAGAGGGGGCCGAGGTCTCTGCCTGCTGAGGGAGGATGGACACCGATGCCTGAGCAGCACACTTGAGTTCTCTCATGAGGACTTGGTGACTTTGTGAAGCTAGAATCAGTGATGGAGAGATGGTGGCCTGCAATGAGCAGAGGGGCTATGGCAAAGGGGACAGGATTGTGTCCCAGCGCAGTGAGTGACCCTGCATGTTTGTAAGCTGGGAGAGCCTGCTGGGGGTCTCAGCTTGGACCTGGCTCTGGCTGCTTGCTGGGGGGTTGGTGAGGTGGAGAGGCCATGGGTGCTGCTACTAG